CGCACGTCTCTCTTCACAGGAAAATCCTGTGAAGAAAAGCGGAGAAAAAACAGAAACCTTTTCTGCCTCGGCCTTAGCCGTCGGTACTCCGAAAGCGTGCTATCCAAGTAGCACGCAGCCGGGTCCCGAAGGTGTCCCATCCCAAATTCGTGCTGTCGACAGACCAGATTCGTGGTCCCTTGGTCGACTACACCCGCCTTTGGACGGTAGCCCGACACAATACATTTGTCTGTCTTTTTGGATTTTTGGTTCGTCTGGGTAAGGGTTTTGCAAGAAACCTCCTCACCACTGCGAACACTGTCTTGCTCGTAGGAGCCGTTCGTCCTTTGTCCGAGCAAACGCGCGCCCGATCACCCCGTTGAGCACGTGTGCAGGGTATCCGAGCGCCATGAACTCCCTGAGTTTGCTCGTCATGCTGAGCGCGAACCCCTCGTCATCGCTCGCCATAGCACTCACCTTGAGCAGGCATCCAATGACTATTCCCTCTTTCATCTTCGCGCATGTGAAGCTATCCCAGCGATGGTAGCGCCACACCCGAGGCTCTCTCTCGCAGCCCTCATTGACGTTCTTGAGTCTCGTCCGGAAACCTCCGTTCGCGTCGAGCTCGAGAGCCGTCTCTAAAAAATGAGCGTTATCGGCTGCCTCCAGCTTCAAAGGCGCCCAGTAGCACTCAGAACGACGGAAATCCTCCCGGAAACGATCGACATCCCATGCGCTATCGTCTTTGGCAGTCACCGTGATCACATCGTCCATGTAGCGCTTCATACGGAAACGCGCTTTCGCATCATCTTCGAGCGTTTGCATCCACTCGTGCTCCATCCACGCAAGAGTTCCTATCGCCAGTGGTGGCGATAGCGCACTCCCCATTGGAATTCCGCGGGTTTGTTTCAGCAAGCGTCCGTCATACGTAATGACATAGCAGTTATCCAGATCGAAATCGATTACCTCGAGCATCGAGATTCCTCAGCATCCAGCGACCGTGGCAGCCCGCACAGTCGCTGATGGCAATGCTGCACTTACTCGCACTGCACGCCGCCACAACACCGAGCTTGCCGCCGTCCACGTGCAAGCCAGCCGACGGCCCCACGGTTCTCATCGAGGATGGCCATCTCACTCTGGCGTGGTCCGATGGAGTCTCCTCGACCGTCCACGGTGCATGGCTTCGCGAACGCTGCTTGGGACCCGCCTCCGTCGAGCAAGCAACCAAACAGCCATTGCACGGGCACGAGTCATTTGACGATAGCGCCTGGGCGGTAGAAGCAGCCAGCGTCGAGGCAGCAAACAGCTCGACCGCTGCCCTGCTGCACGTCACCTTTGGTGACGGCCACAAGAGCATTTTAGAGTCGGGCAAGCTGAAAGCCGAGCTCACTGGGTGTGGCGAGTCTGTTGTGCAGCCGCCAGAACTGGCTGCGCTTCCGGAGCGCCTCCTTTGGAGCGGCACATCTCCTGGCACAGCATCGCTTCCGCGCACGCCACTCCAGGGCAGACTCCCGCCGCGCCACAAGTACGAGGCCCTTTCTACGAGCCCCTCCGGGCTGCATGCCTTGACGACTCAGCTGCTGACATTGGGTTTCGCCATCGTGGAAGGCGTGCCAAAGGTCGAGGGCCAGTGCGAGGAGTTCGCAGGGAAGATCTCCTTTTTGCGCGTGGCCAACTTCGGCACGACATACCACCTATGAGCCCGACCGAACCACGCGTCCGGCGGCAACCTCGACCTCGCCTACGGTTCACAAGAGATCGCCTTGCACAACGACAACCCATACCGCAGCCCGCCGTTTGATCTACAGGCGCTGCACGCCATCAAGCATTGCTCATGTGGCGACGGCGAGCCAATCCCGTGCAAGCAGTGCTCGGTTGTGAACTATGCTGTCGATGCCGTCGCCGTCGCCGAGCAGCTCCGAGAGACACACCCGGCTGACTTCGCGCTGCTCGCAAACACGCAAGTGCGATGGGAAAATTCGGCGCACGACGGCAGGGACTTCATCTCCGCCTACGTGAGACACGCGCCCATGATCGAGCTTGAGCCGACCACCGGCAAGATTCTCGCGATCAACTTCTCGAGCAAGTCCGGAGGCTATGCACCGCCGATGGAACCGCAGCTGGCCCATGCCTTCTACCAGGCTCGACGCCTCTTTGCTCGCATGCTCAATGATCCCTCCAACAAGATCATGCTCCAGCTACGTGCGGGCGACCTCTGGGTCTTTGACAACCGCCGCTTGTTGCACGGGCGCTCTGTGATCCACCCAGACACTGACGGAGAGCGCCACATCGAAGGCTGCTACATGCAGCGGGATGGACTGCTCTTCCACCACGAGCGATCGCGTAGAGCGAGTCGTGCCGACCAGTGAGAAGATGCGAAGCCGCGGCACATACCGGCCTCCACACGCGACTCTTTCTATGAAGTCGTCGACGTGTGTCAGTGTGTCGTGTCACGTGACTGAGTCACGTGTGTCGTGCGACTGCGCGAGAAGCGAGACGATGTGGGTTATACATAAACGGAAA